TGGTTTAAAAAATTAGCATTTAATAAATAATTATATCCTCTTATATTTTCTAATCTATTGCACGGATAATAAATTCTCAGCGTGTGAGTATAACTTTCATTGCAAAACCAACATTTCATTAAATGTTACTTTAGCGTTAATCAATTACGTACATTTAATAGGAGGTAGGTCAATTTATATTAGTTTATAGAATCAACATTGGTCAGGATTCTTTATTGAAAATAAGGCATTTCTTATCTTTTACATACAAATTTAAAGGTTAGTATTACTGCTAATAATACATTAACTCTTTTAAGTTTCACAAGTTTATAAACTTTACAAAGACGAATGACTAATACAAGTTTAATGCATATCATCAAAGGAAACGTTTTTACGGAAAATGTGAAAAATGTGAACGATATAACACTTCCCGAGTTTGGTGTCAAAATTGTGATCCTCAGAGAGAAACGCAAGGATGGACAAGTGATAATGAAGATATTGATAAAGTCATCAAAGAATTTCAACTTAAAGCCACAGAATACGATGAGATTATTGAATGGATTCAATTTGATAAAATAAAAGAAGTTAAAAATATTAAATGGGTTCCTATCGATGGAAATAATTTACAAGAAATTAAGGATGACTTAGACTTTTTTATGGCAACTTGGGAGGAAGGTATACGAACCATTGAAAAAGAATCTGGAAGATATAAACGGTCACGCACTAAGTCATGCGTTGATCTTATAAAATTGCACAGTCCTTCGGATGACCTAAAAAAGGTAATTAAATTGCTTACTATTATTAAATTACTACACTAATTAATGTAAGACTAATAAATGAAATACATATCTTGTAAGCTACTCGATATGTTTAATAAAATGATGCAACAAGGAGAAGGGAATTATAAAGTATTTGGAATAACTTATGGGAAAATTCCAGATACTGAAATCAAACAATATATGATTGTCCTTGATTATTATTACAACAAAAGGAAAAGTATTTATGGAAAGTGTGAACAATGTAAACGACCTAATACCAATCAAAAATGGTGTCAATCGTGTGATCCTTCCAGGGAGTCAAACAAATATAAACCATCAAGTGGAAACCATAAAATTGATAAATGCATCACCAATTTTCAACTTAAAGCTACGGCATATGAGAAAGTAATTGAATGGATTCCGTTTAAGGAATTATCAATTACTAAAGAAATTGGTAGAGGCGGGTTTGGTACAGTATATTTGGCAATTTGGTTAAGTGGTAAGCGCACGATCGAGAAAATTGCCGAAAATTATAAACAAACACGTAGAATACCTTATGTTGTTGCACTTAAAACCTTACCTGGTTCTAATAAGTCGGATGCATCTAATTTTTTAAAAGAGGTAAATATATTATCTATTTGATCGTAAATTTACTATAATTTGCTAAAAAATTTTAATTAGTTATTTTAAATATTTTAAAGTTTAATACTCATATGGAATGTAGATTAGAGGGTATTGAACTTGAAATGTATGGATTGACTCAAAACGAAGATGATGAATATTTGATGGTATTTCAATATGCCAATAGAGGAAATCTTAGTGAATTTTTAATTCACAATTTTAGTGAACTTACGTGGCAAAAGAAATTGGAACAACTTAAATATATATCAAATGATTTACATCAAATTCACAAAACAGGATTCACACATAGTGACTTTCACAGTAAAAATATTTTACTGAACCAAAATCTCGATGGAAAAATAAAATCATACATAGCAGATCTTGGATTATCAAGAAAAAAGGATGATGATTCAGAAAGTGAAGTTTGTGGAGTTCTGCCCTATGTTGCACCAGAAGTTTTATTAGGAAAACGGTTTTTTACACAAGCAGCAGATATTTATAGTTTCGGTGTTATTATGACGGAAATTTCAACTGGACAAAGACCTTTTGATGGTCATAATTTTGATCATAAACTTGCAATAAAAATTTGTAAAGGAGAGCGGCCAAAATTTGCATCTAGAACTCCCAGTTGCTATAGAGAATTGGCTGAGCTATGTATGTACCCTGATCCAGATAAACGGCCAAACGCATTGGAAATCGATAATAAATTCCAAGCGTGGATTAAAAAAATGGAAGATTCGGATAATAATGAAATTAAAAAGCAATTCATATATGCTGATGAGATAATTAGAGAACAAATTATTTCCCCAAAACATCCAGCTTCTGAGTACGCTAGCAAATTATTACCACAAATTCCAAAATTTCCACCAATTGAGTTCAATTAATGGCATTTAGCTTAGACAAATCTTTACATTATTTAAAATAAATTTTAAAATGGGCAAACCTACAATAAGTAAAGTATAATATTGTTTTTTGAATTATCGAATAAAAATGATGCAGCCATAATAACGCAGGGGTATAAATTCAATTTTGGTCAAAATAGCTTGTGAAATAAAGCATTATCGAATGTCATCATTTAACCGCATCAACAATAAGATGCATATCGGCGGATTTGCAGATCATTTGGCCAGCTTTTAAAAAAATTTCAAAGCTGGCTAAATGATCTGCAATTTTGACCAGAGCTACTTTATCAAATTCCACAAAATCCGCCGATATGGCCTACATATTAGTGTAAACCTAGAATATGATCTGCTGGTACTTTGTCGCCTAGTAATATTTAAATAATTACACTATAAAGTTAAATACGGTTTATAAAAACTTGTCACTAGATTTTATTACAGTAATATATGCATAATCGATTAAAGTAACAATAGTAAATTACAAATTAAAGAAATATTAAAATACAAGTCTTATTATTTTAACCCACTCCTATCTTTTTTTATCGGCATGCTGTATATCGTTTCTAATAATGTTAAGATTAGACATAGATCGTCTTGTTTGTTGGTTATGTTTTACTCGTGACCCTCCACACTTCCTTTTAGGCTAAAACGGGCATAATTCTTGCAAACCT